TGCTATTGCGTTACGTTTATTTTTCTGCTCTTGTGTTTTTCATACGTTAAGACCTCGTTATTATTATCTTGTGAGTTTTGGTTCCTTAAACGTTGATGCAACGTTTGTTCATGCTCGTTTCAGGTTGTGGAAAAAAAAGAAAATGAAATCGGAGATGGAACCTCTCATGGTTCAGATTCTACCTGACCTTCACCGATCATCATCAACGACGTACATTTTCACTAAACCCAAGTCTAAACCGGCGAAAGCGATTATCCTGCTAAAGGCCGCTTCCTTCGCTATCACGTTAGGGTTATTCTTTCTTTTCTTTACAATTGTACTCTGCGAATACTGGCCAAGTTCGTTCAGGTACAGCGTCGTTATCGATGCTGGGAGTTCGGGGACCCGAATTCATGTGTTCAGGTACAAGATTGAGTCTGGGAAACCGGTTTTTGATTTCGGTGAGGAGAATTACGCTAGTAAGAAGCTGAGTCCTGGATTATCGGCGTATGCTGATAATCCAGACCAAGCAAGCGTGTCAGTCACGGAGCTTGTGGAATTCGCCAAGGGGAGAATCCCGAATGGAAGGTTGAAGAAGAGTGATATTAGGTTGATGGCGACCGCTGGGATGAGATTGCTTGAAGTAGATGTTCAAGAACAGATTCTTGAAGTTACAAGAAGAGTTCTTAGATCTTCAGGGTTTAAGTTCCAAGACGAATGGGCAACGGTTATCTCTGGTTAGTTTTCGGAATCAATTCTTTCATTTGATCTAATGCGATTATTGTTTAAGATTATGAAAAGCTTTGGGAAATTTGCAGAGTATATATATATATATGGATTATTTTCAATATATTTTTAAAATTTTCAAACGGGTAATTCGGGTAAAATTCGTAAATTAAACTGTCCCAAGTGTATAATTGTTTCGACCGAATGGGTATGAGACGGGAAGTTTTAGGACAGGTCCGGTTAGGAAACCTATCCCGTAATAGACTTTGCTTAGGAGAAAGTGTGGTTGAGATGTTCAAGCTTGGTGCTCTTGTGAGTGACTCCTGTTCTCAATATGTTTGGAGTGGTTTGGATTTATGTTGCAATAAGGACTTTGATTTAATGTTTCATTTGCTTCTACAATATTAGCTTAGTTGAGTGATATCAATGTGCAAATCCATTGGTGATTAGAGAAGCTAATTATTTGAAATCTTGGAAAATTACCAGGATCTGATGAAGGTATATATGCTTGGGTTGTTGCTAATTATGCGATTGGTTCGCTTGGAGGTGATCCGTTGCAAACAACGGGGATTGTTGAACTCGGCGGGGCTTCTGCACAGGTTTAGTCACTCCCATGTCATATTTGTTAATTATCAATAAGAAACTATATATGCATTTAATCTATTAATGAGACTTAGGATAAACTTCAACTAATGATCGATTGTAAGCCATGAGTGTTTGTGCATTTTGTTTAGGTGACATTTGTGTCGAGTGAGCATGTGCCTCCTGAGTTCTCGCGTACGATATCTTATGGAAATGTTTCATACACTATCTACAGTCACAGCTTCCTCAACTATGGTGGACAGGTAACTAATTGAAGCAGAGCATTTTTCTTTGATGCATCATTTCTAAAAATTGTTTTGAAACTTAATGCAATTGTGTCCCTATTAGCTCAAATTTGTAGATATTGGTAATTCAAGAAGCTATTAACTTTTGTCGCCTTGCAGGACGCAGCACAAGAAAAGTTATTGGAGTCACTCCAGAACTCAGGTTAGTTGTTGATAAATCCTTGCAAGTATATTCACTTGTTTACAGAATTTGAAGATTTTGTAGAGTTAATCAACTGATGAATTTGATGTTTTCATCCATACAGTTGCAAACTCTACCGGGGACGGAATAGTGACTGACCCTTGTACTCCTAAAGGATACATTTACGACAAAAAGTCAATTCAAGCTGCTGGTAATTTCTCAAAATGCCGAGCCGCAACATTTGCAATGTTGAAGGAAGGAAAAGGTAAGATAAAATTATAGGTATATAGCCGAATATCGTTCCTCGCGTGTCAATTTTCTTCATCTCTAATGGGTTTACTTTGCGTACAGAGAACTGTGCTTATGAGCATTGTTCTATTGGATCGACATTCACACCTACTAGTCTTCAAGGAAGTTTTTTGGCTACAGAAAATTTCTACCACACCTCCAAGGTATAAATAATCCCATGAATTCATGTTGATCCACGTGGTCAAGATATATTTTGCGAAAATTTTGTTTGGAACATGATCTCTTTTATGTTTCTGTCTAAATCAGTTCTTTGAGTTGGAAGAACAAGATTGGCTATCTGAAATGATTTTAGCCGGAACGAGTTTCTGTGGTGAAGAATGGTCCAATTTGAAAGTGAAATACCCAAAAACTAAAGAAAAATATTTGAATGGATATTGTTTCTCATCAGCTTATATTATCTCAATGCTTCATGATAGTCTTGGTGTTCCTCTTGATGATGAAAGGTAAATCTTATACTACTACACAAATTCAAGAATCATTTAGATCCATCAATGGCGGTTTTCGGGTTTCGATCAAGATATATGTTTGTTTTGTTTGCAGAATCAAGTATGCGAATAAAGCAGGAGAAAAAGAGATACCACTAGATTGGGCATTGGGAGCATTTATACTAAATACTCCCACAACAATTTCTGATTACGGTGGTAAATCTAGAAAAATGTTTGGTTTTGGTAACGAAACCAAATATAAAATATGATATTTTAGGTACTAGAAAAATGTGTGTTTTGGATGACGCAAGTTAATTACGTCA